CGTGGCACTATTATGCTTTCAGTCACGGGCTCCACGAGAAGTCGCTCCGCGTGCAGCTTGACGGCCTCGGGGATTATCTTCGTCGTGTACAACCCCTTCTTGGCGTCCGACAGTACGTCACGGGCCGTGCAAGTTACCTCATGCCCCAAGTAGTTGATGCACTCATCCCCATCAGCTGCGCAGTACCTCTTCTTCCCCTTCCATTGAGTACTCTCCTCCAGGTCCTTCGTGGACACCACGATGCGGATGGGCGCCCAGCCATCGTTGCTCTTTCCTCCTGCCGCCGCTGCCGTTGCGACGGTGTACGCCTGCGCCGCGCCCTGCCCCCTCCGCGGCACCTCACGCACCACCGCAGCCGGCGGCCGGCCCCTCCTCGGCGCCATGTCGTCGAAGGCGCAGCGGTGTGCAGCGGCGCGGCACCCACCGGCAGAGTACATCGTCAGCAGCAGCAGCGGGAGCAGCACCGCCAGCGGAAGCAGCGGCGTGGTGTGGCGGGAGTGACGCATTGATGGAGGAAAGTGTATTTTTTTTTTGGTTCAAGGAACCGTCTTCGCAGCAACACAGGCCTTGTCTGCAGAAAAAGAGAAACAAGGGGAGAAGAGAGAGAAGAGGTGTGCAGATGCGAGAGTGAATGGTGTGGACTTGCCCTTTTCGTACGCATGCGCTGCGCTGCGGTAAAAGTTGGAGCCGCGTGTAGGCGACGGTAGTCGCTGTGTGCGCCGGCGGGAGTTGGGGAGGAACGCGAGGGCCATAGATAGAGCAGCGGCACGGGCGCAGCAGCCCGTCGAACACGCAGCCACGGAGGCGCAAACAGATGCACCTCACGAGGGGCAGGCAAACAAAAATGAGGCGCCGGGACCGCACGGCAATGCGGGAAAGAGATGTTGCATGCTATACACGTGCATTCCACGCGGTGGCGATCCACGGCGTCCGCTGGGCGCCGTCCTCTTTCTTTCCTTCTTTCTTTTCTTCCGCCTTTTCTCATTTCTGCCGGCCGCTGCCAGGGCGCGGCTGTCGGCGCGTCAGTAGGCAGGTGGGCCACGACGCGGTGGCTGCGTTTCTCCCTCGTTCAGAAAGCAGCGGCTCTGCGCTGGCCGCCTGGGGATGTACTTTGAGCGGAAGAGTCCCCGCTGCTGCCGCCGGGCCACCTGCACGGCAGAAAGCCCCGTCTTTCGCAGCGTGGCCGACTGAAAACTGCGGTCGGACTCGAACTCGGCGCGAACGACGCCAAACACGACGAAGAGGAAAAGAACCGCCAGGTTCGGGAGCACCATCGTCCACGTGCTCCCAATCGAGGAGAGAATCTTCTGGATGACTGGGCGCTGGTGGGTGCAGTCGCCTTTGCCCGGGCCGTACCCGTCGTCGCAGGTGGAACACCATGGCGGGGCCCAATACCCGTTGACAGCGTCGCTGAAGCAGCGGCACGGCGACTCCTTCGGCGGGTAGCCAGGCCTGCGACAGCAGCCATGACCGTTGCACGTGGTTAGCGGATCGCATGCCAGGCTTGTTGCGTTGTACGCCCGCTTGCACTCGCCGCCGTCGCCCACAATGGAGTAGGTGCGTCCCTCACAGGTGGTGCAGCTGAAGCTGAATCCGTGCGCATCCCCGTTGCAGACGACGTCGTCCACGCAGTACCGCTTCCATGGCTCGATGCTGCTGCAGTTGCTCGGGCACAGTGCCGTGTGCGAAAAGCAGTAACTTCCGTTGGGATCAGCAGCGTCAAAGGACCCCGTCCACGTGCAGAGGCCCTCGGCAGAGGTCACGTAGATGCTAGCGGCGTCGTTGCAAGTGCACTCAAAGCCGGCCTCCCCACAGTTGCTGAAAGAAACATTGCCACCCTGCCCAAACACGCTTGAGCACCACTTCGCGGCGAAGCTGCAGTTTGTGGGGCATTCGATGCCTGAGCTGGGCGCCCCACGCACACACCCAGGCGCGAGAAGCACGCCAACAACGAAAACGCAGAGCAAAAGCGGCGTCATTGCATCACTTTCTCCCTTCGAATCACTCTACTTTAGCTTTTGCGTGGTGGGGAGAAAACTGCTGACCGGGAAGAGGCAAAGTTTTCACTAGAAGTACGGCGGGGGTGGTTTGTGTGTGTGTGTGTGTGTGTTGTAACGCCACCGTCGCAGCGTGCGGGGAGCCCTCTGCAGGCGCACGAAACGACTTCCACCCGCCCAACCCACTCCCTCTCCCTCTCCATCCCGCAAATATACCACACACGCTCCCTCTTTTCTCCCGTGCGCCATGTAGCGTCCTCGCAAAACCCACCCCTGCTGCGCATGCCTCTTTGTGGTTCTTCCCTCGCTTACAAAGGCAGAAGCAAAGAAACAAACCCGAGTAAAACTTTTCTTTTTTTTCTTTTTTTTTGTTCTTTTCACTTTTTTTTTTTTACTTTTTGATGTGTTTCTGCTCCCCCTCCTCCCTCTCTGCCGTGTCTCTTGCAGTGTGCGTTCGTGCAGTGACGCACACGCACATGGCATTCCCAGTGGCAGCTGCAGCCCCTCATGTACTTAATTTTCCTCCTTGTGCAGCGGCAGTGCCACACCCCTAACAAACCCAAACATGCACACACGCACGCCGACGCATGCACGCGTTGTCTACGCTAACAGCAGCCCGCGGGATCCAAGGACGGCGCAGACGCGAATGACGCTCGTCAAGAGAAGCAGCGAGCCCAACTGGTGCGCCGTGGCAATGGGCACGTCCACGTAGGAGGTAACGGTCCAAATGCCCAACAGCACCTGCAGAGCCAGAATGCCGTTGACGGGCACCAAGCTGCGCCGCAGCATCGTTGGAAGCACCGCATGGTGACGAAAGCAGGCCGCATTCAACCCCAGCACCGCGGCGGTGCTCACGGCAGCCATCAGACGATGCCAGGTTTGCGCCGCCGCCGGGTTCTCAAGGGCGTTGCGCCACCAGGGCTCCACCGTGAGAAGGTGGTCGCGGGGAGGCACGACGCCGCCGCCCATCCAGGGGAACTCGTTGTTGTACATGAGACCCGCGTCCAGCCCCGCCACAAAAGCTCCAGAAACGACGGTGCAAAAAACAATGACGAACGCGAGCCGGGCAGAGAGCTGAATACCCGCCTTGCCTTGAAACTCGCCCACTCGTGGAAGTTTCAGTCCGAAGCCAATGCGCATCATACTGGCGTAAATCGCAAAGGCCAACACCAAATGCGCCGCGAGGCGGTAGGCCGAAACCGTGGCCTTCCGCCGCTCCTCCAGGAGCCGTGGGTCGAGGCCACTGCGGACCATGTACCACCCCATCGCCCCCTGCGCCCCACCCAGCCCAAGAATCGCGACGAGGGCGGCAGTGAGTGCGTGGTGGCCCCTGAGACGGCCCTTGCAGAGAAAGTACATCATAGGCAGGCCGTAGACAAGCCCCAGACTGCGCGCCATGAGGCGATGCGCCCACTCCCAAAAGAAAATAAATTTGAATTCCTCCAGCGTCATCTTGTCCTTTTGCTTGAACTCAGGGAAGTTTTGGTACTTGGCAAACTCGTCCTCCCACTCCTGGTGCGTGATGGGGGGACGCACGCCCGTCACGGGCTTCCAGTCCACGATGCTCAGCCCACTCTCCGTGAGGCGGGTGACACCGCCAATGACTACCACGCCCCCCACCAACGCCGCTGAGCAGTACAGCCAGTGTGCCACCGCCCTGTTGGTGGGAGGGGCCCTCCAGGCCGTCTCCGCGGCGGCCGCAACGGTGGACTGGAGTCGGCGTTTGAAACGGAGCGAAAAAGGTGACCCTGCAGCGTTCGTTTGAAATGCCAGCGGCCTGAAACGCAGCATTTTGGTTCTATGTCTTATTTGTTTCGGTTTTTTTTCCTCTTCTTTGCTTGGGTGAGTAGGACTGTGCTCGGCTAGTTCCTCCCTTGCTACTACGAGTATTGCCGCCTTTTGTATTGTCTTCCCCTCCTTGTCTTTATACTGTAAAGCCTGCCTGCGCGCAGAGTACGTCTGTGAGTTAATCTACTTTTGCTTGTCGTGGTCTATTTTATTTTTTATTCTTTTTCTTTTTTTCTTTTTCACTTTATGGGAAATGTGTGTTTGTGTGGCCTGGACAGCAGCAGCAGAGGAAAAAAAAATGGGGAGGGGGCTGCGCACGGCAAATGGCGGCAGCAGGAGGGACGAGCGCAGATGCGTGCCGTAGCGCTGCAGTCAACACCCGATGGATGTGTGCGTGTGGCGCGGCAACGAAAAGGGGGCAAAATCGCAGTGCCACAAGCAAAAACAAACAAACAAGCAAGCAATCAAGCAGGCAGACTTCGGCTGAGACTGAGACCAGGAAAGGGAGTCGCCCGCACGGCCGCCTCGCACGACGCAGGGAAGCGGCGAAGGTGGAGGTAGGCGGCAGCGGGCATAAATGCCGAATGGAGAGAAAAAGGGACGGCGCACAGGCACCGCCCCCGGCACCAGAAAACTACTTTGCACCGACGGGAGCAGGATCGCCAGCCGCACGAGTCAGCGGCGCCGCGGTTGTGAGGGTCACACGGAAGTATTTTGGCGGCCACAGTCTCCGCCGTAGTCCACCCCACGCGTCGCGGCGGCGGCACGGTGAGGAAGCACACCGCCCACACCTCTTGGCAGCAGCCCCTGTACAGCGCCGGCGCCATCGGGAACGCGTCAGTGAGCAGAAACATCAGCGCAATGACAAAATAATAATAAATAGAAAAAGACAGGGCGGCGACAGAGCCCCAAGAAAGCAGGCGAAGCTGCCTCGACAACAGGCGCTCGGACGCGTCACCGAGCGTCTAAAACAAAGTGCAGAGCACCGTGAAATAGGGCAGGAATAGGAAGGCCTGCAGGGACGCCACCAAGTCTTGGCCCCGCCGCTACCCCACGGCGGTCAGGCGGCTTGTGTCCACCACGGTTAACGTCAGGAGCGTAACGGCCTGCGCCGGCGAGCGACACACGGCAGGCGTGAAGGGCACCGACTTGGGGCCGCCAAAGACGGCCCAGTCCAGCCCGGCCTCCGCCTCGGGCAGAGGGGGTTTGCCCACTGCACATGGCTCCCTGCGCCCAAGAGAGACGCCGGTGGAGGAGGCACGGTTGGCAGCCGCGCCCGAGCGACGCTGGAGCTCCGCTTTTGCGGAGAATCGCGCGGCGGGAGAGCAGCGCCACGCAAGACGCCGTCCCCGCTGCTCGCGGCCGGGTGAAGCCCGTTCGTGTACAACGGCGGAGGGGCGTTGTTAGGGCCGTTTGTGGGGGGGGGGGGTCGCCCGAGTGCGACGCCGCGCCCGCGTGCCCACACGATACGGTGATCCGTCTCCCTCGCCATTTGCTCAGCCGCCGGGGGCGCGAAACGAAACAAACGGCAAGGAAAAAAAAAACGCATGCGCACAGAAAAATAATTATTCACTTGACTGCGCTCTTTGACTGTGGCGCACGCTTTTCTGTGTTCGCTTCCAAACCGCGCGGCCAGAATGCAAAAAAAAACGGCACACATAAGCGGCCGTTAAGCGCAGGAAGAGAAAGGCATCCAAAATGCGGCGCATTGCGAGCCCCACGGCGCAAACACAAAGATACACACACGCAGAGAGAGAGAGAGAAGGAAAGGGGGAGAAGGAAAAGGAGGAAGAAGGGGTAGAAACCAAAAACAAAACAGCATATATTTAAACACAGACGACAACAAAAAGAGCATCGCTCCGTAGAAGGCCGGAGGTGTCGCAAGAGGCGGCAGCAGAAGCTTCCAGTGGACGGCGCGTGTCTGTCTCCTTCCCCTCACCCCCCCCCACACCTTTGCCCATCCCTTTTTTCGCCCTGCTCCACGACGCGACACGTCACGACACACAGACGCACACACGTAAGCGCCCCAGTGATCGCCGGTAGAGGCCTGTGTTACCCTGTCTCAGAGGAAGTACTCGGGCGGGGGCTTTTTGGTTAAGTGACCGCGCTCCTCGGCGGGGGCCGCCCCGAATGTTATGAAGCTGCGGTCCGTTCGCGACTTCTCGCCTATTTTCATGATGGACGCCACGTTGCCGCAGCGGTAGCAGTAGTTTGGGGCGGACCACACGGTGCAGCAGTTGTCATCGAACATCGACTTGTAGCCCTCAAAAACGAGTTGATGGGCGCGCGCAATGAGGCTAATGCCGTTTCTTTGGTTAAATGCCTTTGTGACGTCGGCGCCAAAGATAAATCCGGCGCCGCGGGGACTCATGGCCCAACCGCTGATGTCGTCAGGGTCGGACCAGAGCAGGTCCGTCATGGGACCCTCGTGCGGAACCTCCTGCTTGCGATCCAAGACGCGAATCTCATCGAGGGTGTTAATGTCCGGGCTCAGACCGCCGTGCACGCACAGCACGTCGTCCTCTACTAACGCCATTAAAGGCATGTAGTCAAAAAGGTCGGTGCAGAAGCGCCACACATTGGCGCTGCCGTACTTTCTGTAGCATTCATCATAGAAGCCGTAGACCTGCGTGATCTGCCGGGACTCATGATTGCCGCGCAGGAGTGTCATGCGGTCCGGGTAGCGGACCTTCAGCAGAAGCAGCAGCAGCAGCGTCTCAACGCTGTGGTACCCGCGGTCGACGAAGTCCCCCATGAAGACGTAGCTAGTCTCGGGCACGCGACCGCCGTGACGAAAGAGCTCCAGCATGTCAAAAAACTGGCCGTGAATGTCGCCGCAGAGCGTGACGGGGGCGTACACAACCTCAATGTTTCCCTCCTCGAGGAAGAGGTCCTTGCAGCGGTCACACAGCTGCGCCACCTGCTGCTCCGTGATCAGCTTGCCGGCGTACAGCGTCTCTACCATCGCATCCAGGTCCGCCATGGTGCGACGGCGGCGCACACGCACACGCACGCTCCCAGCAAGGCAGCCGCAGACTCACTCCTCCTCCACCTCCGCCCCCTTCTCTTTTTTTTTTATCGGTGTCAACGCCCCTTGCGTTTGTTTAAGTTCCCACGCGTGTTCCCCGGCAGGAAACACCGCTGTTGCTGCTGTGGCTTGCCCACGCGTCGCAAACGTCCCCGCCACACACACAAACACACACAACCGCCGCCAGCGAAGAGGGGGCAGGAATGAAGAAAAGGAACAAAAGAAACGGCAGAGTGTTGACAGAAGTGGAGGGAGCAGAGGAGGAAGAAGGAAGATACAACGACGCCAAGCAGACAAAGACGGACGGCAACATCGATAGATCAAAACAAAAAAACAAAAACAAAAAAAAACCGATATGCAGACACACAAAGAAAAAAAAAGGCGGCCTCCCCTCATTCACGGCTGCGGCTGAAAATGAATGGAGGTGCCGTTGACGCAGTGTCGCTCATTCGGCGCGGGGTTGTTAAACCCCTCCCCGCGGAAGACGTGGCCCAGGTGACTGTTGCACGCGTTGCACACAATCTCCCTGCGCACTCCGTCGGCGTCGGGCTCCTCCCGCACCGCCCCCGGCACGCAGTCCCAAAACGCCGGCCAGCCGCAGGTGCAGCGAAACTTCATCTCCGACGTGTACAGCCGCGCCCCACACGCGGCGCACAAATACACCCCGGGCTCGAAGTGATCGTCGTACTGGCCGAAGGTTGGGTCAGTGCCCTTCTCCCGCAGGACGCGAAACTGCGCCGGTGTCAGTCGCTCTCGCCACGCGGCGTCGCCAAGGTCTTTTGAGCCGTCCGCCTCCGCGCGGGAGACGCAGTGCGTCATTTGAAGCTTTATGCTCGTGGAGAACAAACTACGGGAGAGGCACAGTGCGGCAGAGCGGGGAAAAGACACACGAGGCTGCAGCTGCGGCGGCACGGCAACGGCGCAGACACGCCCACAACGCCGCATGCTTCGACTTGGCCTCCAACACAAAAAAAAAGAAGAGAAAAACAACCCAAAAATGTGTAGCTGTTTTTCGTTTTGCTCTTTTTCGGAGGTGGCCGTTACGCCTCTCCGTTCCCAAAGCCAGGAGGAACGAGAAGGCCAGCGGCGGGCGAAAGCCAAGAGACGGGAGAAAGACAGCGCGAGATGCAGAGAGGAAGAAGCCTTAAGAGCAAGGCGGATAATCACTCGCACGTACACACAGACAGGCAGACAGAGAGAGAGAAGAGGCGTCTACGCGGTAGATGTTCGACCTACACAACTACTCTTTTTTGTTCTTTCTCTCTTTGATTATTACTTGGATCCTGGCTCTCCAGTTTTGCCTCTCCTTCTCCTCCGCATCACATGGGCTCCCTCAGCGTCCGTCGCCGACGCAGCGGAGAGGGAAGAAGGGGCTCATGTGAGGCCTTCCGAAACTCTCTATGATGTCCCCGCCCACCCCCAAAGCGCCTCTCGGGGGGAAAAAGCGGGACGGCTGCCGTTTTGCGTGGCGTGGGCGCCGCACGTCATCGTCGCGCCTTTTGCCGCTGCGCCCGGGCGGGTTTGCCGGCTTTTTTTCTTCTATGCGGCGGCGGAGCGTCCACCTCTTCCTCCTCCTCAAAAAAGTCCCGCGTCGCCTCGTCGTCCTGGTCGAAGTCGCTCTCCACCTCCGTCTCGTTGTCCCAGCTGTCGTGCTTCACCGGCCGGGCCACCGCGTCGCCCCTCTTCCGGCGCGCGGGAGGCGGAGGCGGCGGCGGCGCCTTGCCGTTCTTCTTCACTACCCGCTGCCGGCGGACGGGGAGCCGATCCTCCTCTTCCTCATCCTCGTCGCCCTGCGCCGCATCCGCGGCTTCGTCTTCGAGGCGGCGCCGTTCATCGCCTTCATCGATGTCGTCCTCGGCGTCAGCGTCATGCGGCTGGGCGGCCTCCCGGGCACTGCGCCGCGGCTGCCGCTTCTCGTGCCGTGCCGCAGACGCCCTCCTCGCCGCCCCCGCAAAGGCGTCCACTGCGCCCTCCTCCGCCTCCGCCTCCTCATATTCGTCGTCACCCCCATCCGCGTCGGCAGCGTGGCCGTCGACATCGGCGGCGGCGTGGGCGGAAGTCCTCCTCAGCGAGGCATGTTTGTTGCTGGCGGCGGCAGCGGCGGCTTCACGTTTCCCCTTCCTCGCCTTCACCTTCGCCGCCGCCACCTCATCCGCGTCCTCGTCATACTCTTCTTCGCCAAGACCTGAATCGTCGTCGCCGTCGTCGTACGCGCTGCTTTCCACGCGGCGCCGCACCGCCAGGGCGGCCGAGCGCTTCGGACGAATGTTTGCCGCCTTCGCGCTCGGCTGGAGCCGCGCCTGCAAGTTGAGTTTGCTCATCTTTGTTGGATGCGTTTTTGTCTGCTGCACCCTTCGTGGCGTAGTGGTAGCCGTCGCTGCCTTTGCTGGTGTCGTCGCAGTCTTTGCTCTCCTTGTTGGTGGCGTGTTCTGTTCCGCCTCGTACCTTCTGCGGGGGTTAAGCTGCTGGAGCTTCTTCTCGCGCGCCGTGGACTTCCACCAGGCGCCTTGCTCCCCCACGGCGTCTGCCGTCACCTCCTGCGTGACAGCGTCCCCCAGCGTGCCGCTTCGCGCCGTCTGCGGGTGTGGCTCCGTGTGGGCGGCGGCATCATCGCTGCTCCCGGGTGGGCGAAGCTCGCTTTTGTCGCCGCTATCGCTGTCGTTATTGCCGTCTGCTTCGCCGCCCTCCTCGCTCTCGCGCTGCGCCGCCGTCTGTGAGGCCGGCGAAGACGACGGCGGTGCCGCGTCCCCCTCGCTGGCCATCCCCGCCGCCTCCTGCCCAGTGGCCGCACTGGGCGGGGGCGCCAATGCGGGCGACGGCGGTGGCTGCGGCGCGGCCTCCGGCTCCGACATGAGCAGCTTCGTGAAGTCGCTCTTTCCGCCGCGCTTCGCGAGCACGAAGGACTCTCCGATGCTCAGTCCATCCTCCTGCGACCCCGACAGGCCTCTCAGCATGTCGTACAACGTCAGACCGGCGACGCTGGCGCCTGTGAGCGCCTCCATCTCCACCCCCGCCTTGGAGTCGTCGCTCGCGACGGTGCAGAAGCAGTACAGCACGCTGCACTCCCCGCGGGCACGGCTGGGCGGCGGCGGGGGGCTGACGCGCTTTCGCAGCACCACCCGATGCGGGAGTGCGGAGGTGCGACTGAGGCCCGCAACGACGCGTCGCCTAAAGGTGAAGGAGCACTTCTGAATCCGCACAGGGTGGCAGAACGGGATCAGCTGACTTGCCTGCTTCACCGCATTCGTCCCAGCAATCACGGCGGTGGCAAAGAGGGGACCCTTCTTGGAGGTGTAAAACTCCTCCATCTGCGATACGGGGGAGCGGCTTTCCTCCGAGGGGCTGTTGCCTGCGCCGCCATCGTTGGGCCGCTGCAGCGGCGGGGACAGCGTCTGCTTCATGCCCTCAAGCAGAAAGTTGGCAGCGGGAGGAACAACAAGCGTGGAGACCGCAGTCGCGAGGCAATAGGGCGACTTCCTCTCACTCACCTCTACCTGCCCCTCCTTTGTGGCCGGAACCACCGCATTGCTATCAGTCCCTGTGCTACTACTGCCACTGCCGCCAGCATTGCTGCTGCTGCCTCGGTTATCGTGGTGTTGGTGATTGCTGACGCTGGTGCTGAGGGCAGCGGCGGCCACTGCCGTCGTCGCTGCTGCTGTCGCCGTCGCTGCCGCTGTCGTCGTCGTCGTCGCCCCCCTCCTTGTACGTGTTGCAGGCTTTCGCGTCCGCGACGGCGAACGCTGTTTTGCGGGTGACTTTGTTCTACGCCGCGCTGCAGTTGTCGCCGCCGCCGCCCGCCCACGCCTTGGCGGTGGCTTCAGCGGCTTCCTCTTTGCGAGCAACGCAGCCGCAAGCCTAAACATAGGTGTCTCTACCTCCCTGTGTGCAGCCTCGCTCCCGCCGTCTTCCCTGCTGAAGTGGTGGATGCATCGGCGTGCAGGCAGACAACAAAGAAGGAAGCGAAAAAGAAAAAAGAAAAGCGGACCGTACAGAAGGCAGTAAAAGCACAAACCCATACATGTATATATGTGTGTGTGTGTATGCGTGGGTGGGTGCTTTATTTTGTGCTTCGTACTCCGTTTCTTCCTGCTGCTGCATGGACTCCCCCCTCTCTCCCTCTGTGTGTTTCTCGTTCTATCCGGCACGCGCAGCCCCCGCTGCGGCCGCTCTGTTCTTCTATGCGTCTCCGCCTGCCGCCCGCTTCGCCGCCCTCGGCCCGCAAAACAGGGCGGCGGGTGGCGTCAAAAAAGCATTGGGACCGCAGCTGGCGAGGGAGGCGGCGCCGACGGCGGTAGGGGCGGTGCGGCGTCACCTGCGCTGCGCAGCCCCGCCATCACCGCCGCGTCGGACTGTTCCACGGCGGTAAGCAACTCCCCACACGCGGACGGCGGGGCCACCGCGTCGTCGTCGTCGAAGAAGCAGGCCTCGACGCTGCTCGCACTCCCCGACGCGCAGCGGGCGGGACTCACGGCGGCGGACGACTCCCGCGTCCCCGGCCCGGGCGACGGCCGGCAGCGCGCGCGCTCCTCCGTGCAGCGCCGCTTTGCCCCCGCCGCCGCGGCGAGGCGGGCGGCAGCCTCGTCTTCCTCGCCGCGCTCGGGCCGCTTCGGATGCCGCCGGGCGCGTCCAGCGGCGTCGCTTCCCTGCGGCCCCGCAACGGGCGGCTTCCCCACGGGGGCGTTTGTGACGTTGCGCCCAAACTCCCGTTTGTCGCGGCGGTCCATCGACGCCGCCGCCAACTCCCCTGCGCTAAAGCCACTCGGCTGATTGCGTCTGCCTCGCCGCACCCCCCACCCCCCGTCCAGCCGGCTACGCGAGCGAGAGCCCAAACAAAAGAAATAAAAACAGAAAAAAAAAGCGAGAGCGAGAAGAAAAACGGCATCCAACGATTTGGCAGCGGAGGAGATATGCGTGCCGACCCAAGCGTGGGCTGGCAGCACCGCACACCTCCGTGGCCGAGTAAAGAGAGAGAAGGAGAGAGGGAGAAAAAGTGAAACAGAGCGGCTGAGTGGAGGACGTGCGCGCCCATGCATGCAGCGGGGCAAGTAAGTCAAAGCAGAGGGGGAGCGGGGCAGAAGTGACGTGCTGCCTTCCACCCGCGCGCCCCTCCAGCGCTCACAAGTGTCAAAGGGAAGTGTACGCAGCACCCCCGCTTCCCTTACGCCGTGCCGTGTACTCCCTATTTCGCTGGCGCACAGCGCGTGGTTCTTGCCGCAAAGGGAACGCGGCAGCGAACACACAGACACACACAGGTCCACTTCTTGCTTTAAGAAAAAAATGGAAAATGTTCTTCTCCTTCTTTGTTGTTGTGTGTTCTCTATTTCTTTTCGTATTTTTGTTGTTGTTGTTTGTTTTTTGCGCCTTCGCCAGACAAACACACACACGCACATACAGACACGGTCATCATCAACCTCGCCCCTGCACGCACCGCCTCTCATGAAGCCACACTCCTGGCGGGGCGCTGTGGCACGAGCAAAAAAAAAACATGGAAATGGAAACAGTCCGAGGGGCGCTACGAGAGCAGCGCGGCGGAGAGGTAGTCGCGTAGCTCCGGCGTTGCCCCCCGCAGCGTTAACTGCAGCGCCACGCCCTTGTCGTCTGCGATGAAGACTCTTGCGGCGATGAGCACGAGCGAGCGGGCGCGGTTGGCCAGTGTGCCGGACATCTGCAGCGTGTGGGACGCCGTCGTGATTTTGTCCGGCTTGCCTCCTTCGACGTGCATGCCGAAGAACTCTACCAGCTCCCGCGCCGCCACCGTCAAGTTGCGCATTGAACTCAGCGAGTAGGTTCCCGTCGTCTCTTCCTCCTGCAGCCGCTCCCACTGCGTTGCGAAGGCGCCGCCGAGGTCCACGGGGGCGATGAAGTCGCTAACGTTGATGTCGAAGCCCTCCAGAGGGTACTCCTCCTCCTCCTCGACGTCGCCGCCGCCCTCCTCCTGCATGGCGAACTTAAAGCGGCACTCCACCGTCCCACTCGGAAACTGCTCCTCCTCGTAGCGCAGCACCGCGTAGCCGTACTCGGTGGCGCCGGGCACCACCGTCGCGATGGGGATGGCGTACTGCGGCTCCACCTCCACCTCGTCCGCGTCCACGTCGATGGCGATGTTCTTGAAGGTGACCTTCTCCATCGTGTTCTTCACCTTGAACTGCAGAACTATGTGCGCGATGTAGGTGTGCTTCATCACCGTCACGACGTACTCGCTGTCGGGGTCTGTCAAGGGCACCGGCTCGCTGCTGACGCACGGCTCGCCAAGCTCCAGCAGCTGTTTGATTTTCTGCATCTTCTCTCGGCCCTGCAGCACGGCGAGGCTAAGCAGCGCGGGCGCCTCCGTGCCGCTCTCAGCCGCCTGGGCAATCGTCTTCTGTCGGCTAAGGTCCTCCGTCGCGGTGTTCAGCACGGCAGTGCGTGCGGCGATGCGTGCCTGGCGCCCCATCGCCACCGCCTTGGCGACGTCGCACACCATCGCGCGAATGATGTTCTCATCGTTGTGCAAAAAGAGACGTGTGTAGAACACCGCCCGGTCCCGCACCTCGTCGTCCGCGTCGTTGCAGGTGCGCTTCAGCAGCACGACGATGGAGCGCCGCAGCGAGGGGACGCAGGCGGCCAACTTCGCCAACGTGCTGACAGCCACCGCGCGAATCTCCGGCCCCTCCAGCGTCGCATGGTTGTAGACGTAGCGCACGAACGTCTCCGGGTTCTCCGTCAGCGGCACCTCCTCGCCGAGGTACATCAGCACCCGGCGCACGATCTTGGGGTAGTTGCAGTCGTCAATGAACTCCGCGAGGTGCTTCAGCACCGACGCCTTCGAGTCCGGGTTGGACCTGGCGATCTCAATCGTGACGTCCACCACGTTCTCCTTCAGCTCGCTGCCGCCCTCCTCGGTGAGGACTTTGGAGAGAAACCCGAGAAAGACGTCGTACTTCGCGGGGAACTTGGCGCTCAGCACCCGCATGGCGTCGATGATGACCATCTTGAACTCGTCGCCCAGCTCCCGCAGGTAGCCCGCCGCCGAGAGCTGCGTGATGAGCCGCTCGATGGTCAGCTCCGTGCCCGTCTTCAGCAGCGTCGTGATGGCGAGGGTGGCGATGATGCGGTTGGGGTCCGTGACGAGGTTCTCGATCTCCGCGTTGATGGGCGCCACCGCCGCGGGGTGCAGCGTGGCCACCTCGTTCAGCACCCGAATCGCGGCAAAGCGCAGCACGGCGCTCTGGGCGGTGAGGTACAGGTGCACCACCATCACCGCGGGGGAGACCTCCTTCGCCGTGATGTTGCGCAGCGAGCAGATGGACTTCACCGACTCGAACACCACCAGGTCGTTGCTGTGCTGCATCATCGAGGTCACAAACTTGTAGATGTCAAGCGAGCCCTCAAAGTCATCCCGCATGAGCTCGGTGCAGATCTTAATCAGTAGGCACAACGCCATCGGCGAACGTATTACGCCGCTCTTGGCCTGCTCAATGAGGCGCGTGACGGAGAGACGGTCATTTTTCCGCATCTTGTGCAGCAGCGCAATGGCGGCGTACTGCGCCTTTCCACAGCTGCGAATCACCTCGGTGAGTTGCGTGCCCCACTTCCGTGCCATGTCTGGATTCACCTGGGCGATGTGCAGCCCCGTCACGATGGCGGCGCAGACAACGTTGCTGCTCTGCGACGTCAGCGCCTCCACAATGGTGCGGTCCATCGAGGCGTAGAGGGAGCTGTTCATCACCTTGAAGAGGGTGCGAATGCCGTTGCACTTGCTGGCGTCGTTGTTGCTCTTGATGTCAACCATGAGCGAGTTGGAGGCGATGAAGCGCTGCTCCACGAGCGGGCTCAGCTCCTTCATCAAGACGTAGTGCAGTCGGCGCAGTTTCGGGTGGGTGGACTGCAGGAGTTTTGTGGACATGAAGAAGAGGTCCGTCGCCTCCGCCTCGGTGAGGCTCGCGCCGGTGTACACGAGGTACAGGCACTGCGTCATGGAGCGCAGGCAGGCGGAAATGTCAAGGCGCACGTCGTTGAACACGCGACACTGCTGCAGCGCGGCGGTCTTCTCCAGTCCGTCGAAGGGTAGGACATCCTCCTCGTCATCCTCCGCGTCGTAGCGAAGGAGCTCCCGCTCCGACGAAGCTCTCTGCATTCTCCCTCGCGTGTCCTCGAGTCCCTCCCCTCTTCGCTTTGCGGCAGCGGCGGCGGCGGCGATGACTTTGCCGTGGATGTGTTGGTACGTGGATGCAGCCCTCCCCGCTGCGCCTCTTTTTTTTTATATGTAGCCGCTTCGTCCCTTTGTAATGTGCGTACGCTTCTGTATACGTATATATGTATATCTACGCCTGTTTGTTCGTTTCTTTGTTTTTGTTCTTTCTTTGCCTCCCTCCCTCTCTCTCTCTCTTACGTTAGCTCTTCCTTTTGCTTGAGCGTTTGCTGTTGCCGTCGCTTCTCCGTTCCCTGGAGCCGCAAGGGCGGCAAAAGGAGGAGGAGGAGGAGGAGGCGAGGGACGATGCCCGGGCGGGGGGCGAGCGGCGAGCGGCGAGCGGCGCTGCGCCTCACACACGCACACACGCACAAACAGACAGACACGCACAGCCGGCGTTACATCAGCGTCCCAGCGGGGGGCGCGCAAATACATTTCCCACACGCGAGGAGCGGAGGCCGCACACACAGACAGGCAGACAGGCATCTACGGGGAAAAAAGAGAAGTGAGGCGCCGGACGCCACCGGCCGCAACCGTTGGGCACGTCACTGTGCCGCCCCTTCCGCGCCCTCGCCGTCCGCACTCGCCGCTTCCTCCTCCACCTCCTCCGTGTAAAACTCGTAGTACACTTCAACCAGCTGCCGCGAACAGTAGCCGCGCCACACACGCTGCACCTCCACAGCCGCCTTCCACCGCGGGTGTGCACGAAGCATCTCAAAAGCGCTGCGACGCGCCAAAGCACCACGGCCACAACGCTGGACCAACAGGGCAAACTGCTCTGGCCGCCGCTCAGCCTCCTCGGCAGAGGCCTTGGGCTTCTCCGCCTCGACCGCAGTAGGCTCACACTCCTCCGACGCCACGAGAGGCGCAGGCTTCTCCGCCTCGACCGCAGTAGGCGCACACTCCTCCGTCGCCACGAGAGGCGCAGGCTTCTCCGCCTCGACCGCAGTAGGCTCACACTCCTCCGACGCCACGAGAGGCGCAGGCTTCTCCGCCTCGACCGCAGTAGGCTCACACTCCTCCGACGCCACGAAGGCGCAGGCTTCTCCGCCTCGACCGCAGTAGGCTCACACTCCTCCGTCNCCACGAGAGGCGCAGGCTCCTCCGCCTCGACCG